ATCCTTCTCTATGTAGGTAGGCTGAGGCAGGGGGATTGAGAGTTTGAGGCCAGCTTGGGCTATGTAGCCTTATGTGCAGTCTCAACTGCACAGTAAGGCCCTGTAGCAAATAAAACAACAAACAAACACAATTTTAAAGCCTATAAAATATCAGCATTAAATTATAGAAATCATATAAGATATATAAAATATTGCTGTAGAAGTTTTCTCTTTTTTTGTTCTTTTTTGTTTGTTTGTTTTGTTTTGTTTTTTGAGACAAACAGGGTTTCTCTGTAACCTTAGAGCCTGTCCTGGAACTAGTTCTTGTTGACCAGGCTGGTCTTGAACTCACAGAAATCCACCTGCTCCTGTCTCCCCAGTGCTGGATTAAAGGCATGGGTCACCACTGCCCGGCTTGCAGAAGTTTTCTATAATCAAAGTGATCAGAGCCAAATGGAAAGGCAAAGAAAGCTCTGAGGAGGAGGCACATCCAAGGATCCCGGCTCCTAGTCCCTGCATCACACTTGTCTTTTAGACGGTTCTTTAGTATTTTGTTTTATCTCAAATGCTGCATATTAGCTTCATCGGACACATTTTATCTAAGAGATCAACACTGGGTTGGAATGTTGGCTCAGTGCGTGAGAGTGTATGCACAAGAGCAAGGAACTGTGATGGAATCCCTAGCCTGGACGTGAGGAGCTGTGTGTGGTAACTCATGTAGTTAGCTTCAACTTGCGAGAGGCAGAGGCGGGAAGATGGCTGGGACTTTCTGGCAGCTAGTCTACATCCAGGTTCAATTTGAGACCCTCTCTCAGAAACAAGACAGCGAGTACAGAACAAGATAGATACCCAGTGCCCTTCTCTGTCCTCAGTGCCGTCACCCACAGGTGACCATGCGCATGCGCACAAGTACACTCGCTTTGGTTCGGTGTTTAGCCAGTTTATTATTATTTTTTCTTCTGTTTTCATTTTCTTTCAGGTTATTTTATATTCTGCAGACAGAATTTGTGATGACTTCTATCCAGGTCTGAAAGGACGAGTGCATTTTACCAGTAATGACATCGGGTCTGGGGACGCATCCATAAATATAACAAGTATCCAGCTATCGGATGCTGGCACCTATCAGTGCAGAGTGAAACAAAGCCTTGGCGTTGCCAACAGGAACATCCAGCTAGCTGTCACCGGTAAATTTCTGTGGCTAGTCACAGGTGTCTTAGAAACAGGGTGGGCTCTCACAGCACTAAAGTCACAGCGATTTATAAGGCAAAGTTTCGATTCTAGAGTAATAATTAGACTCAGTTTTGCTATGTTAGGGGTGAAACCCAGGGCTCATGCTTGCTAGGAAAGGGCTCTGGCCCTGGGCCACACCCCTAGCTCTAGAGTGATAATTTTCAACTTTGAGGTATTTCTAATGTCTTCACGTTGTATGAGACATAAAGTGGACACTTTTTTTTCTTCTGCAAAAGGAATTACTTCTTTTTGTTGTTGTTACTTCATTTTGTTCATGTTTCTTCATTTTATCTTGTGCATATGAGTGTTTTGCCTGCATGTATGCCTGGAAACCAGGAAAGGGTGATGGATCCCCTGCAACTGGAATCACAGAGAGTTATGGAGCTGCCATGTGGGTGTTGCAAATTGAACCTGGGTCCTCCAGAAGAATGGCCAGTGCTCTTAATCACTGAGCCGTCGCTCCAGCCACTTGTTTTCTGTGTTTTTGAGACAAGGTCCCCCTATGCATTCCTGGATAGCCTGGATCTGTGCAGAACGCGATGGCCTCAAACTAACAGAGATATGTATGCCTACACTGCCTCTCAAGTGCTGGATTTAAAAGCATATGGCAACCTCCCCAGCCTATTTCAAACTTTGTAAAATTCATTGACAATTTAAAAAATAAGTGTAGGTTGGGGTTTATTTTTTTGCTTAAGAATTTCATCCACACATATAATTCATTTTTATAAAATTCTACCCCAGTTGGTACCTCCAATTACTCCCCTATCCCTCCCATCTTCCCTGTTTTCCTTTTCAACTTCTTCCTGTCTCTTTCCCTCTCCCTTGGGTTTCCCCTCCCTCTCCCCTGTCTTTCCAGGTCTAGTTCCACCTTCAGTAAGCTCTGGTCAACAGAAGGTTGGGATGGGAGATCCTGAGAGGCCAGAAGGCCCATGGGAGATGAATGGCTCTCCATATTTCTGACAGCCAGGATGGACAAGAATTTTGTTGTATGAGGAAGAACCCTGAGCCTGGACTCAGGAGAGCTGTGTTGTTGTTGCTTTGAACTTTGTCTTTAGAGTTTGCCCCGAGAATTAAATAAATATCTGCATTTCCTTGGGCCTCGGTCTACTCTATGTGTACTGACACATGGTGTATAAAAAGCTGTAGTTGTCACTGTACCTGTCAGAGTCACCTCTTCAGAGCTGCATGGGAGTGCTCTGAGTTTTTGCTTTCACTGCACAAAGGACAAAAGAGGTTTCTATGGTGCAGAGGTGGGTGTTTAGGATGCTGGGGATGTAATTGCATGTGTGTGTGTGTCAGAGAGAGAGAGAGGAGAGAGAAAAGAGAGAGAGAAAGACACACACACACAGAGAGAGAGAAAGAGAGAGAGAGAGAGAGAGAGAGAGAGAGAGAGAGAGAGAGAGAATGTGAGTATTTGTGTGGGTACGCAGGCACCATAGCATCTTAAAAGAATGTCAGGAGTTGACATTCTTTTTTCACGGTGGCTTTCAGGGATCAAACTTAGGTCATCAGCTAGCATGACAAGCATTTTACCCATGGAGCTTCACCCCAACTTTGTAGAAACCACTATTTGTTTAGTACTCAGATTATTGAACATCAAACAGAACAAAACAGAATTTTCAGCATCATCCTTAAGTGTGATATAATTGAAAGGCTTTTAAATTTAAAAATTTTAAATATTTAAATTTTAAATATTGTGTGTGACTAGTGCTATGGATCAGAGATTAAGAGCATTGGTTGCTCTACCAGAGGACTAGAATTTGATTTCCAGCACCCAGCTGGCAGCTCACAGCTCTCTGTGACTTCAGTCTCAGATTCTATGCCTTCTTCTGGCCTCTGGGGGCAACAAACACAGAGTCCCCAGGGAGCCTGTGGCACTGTGGCTAGCATGGATCATTTTGACCTCCCATTTATAGATAAAACTGATCTCTCTGTTGTCTGTGTTTCTGTCCTGCCTAGTTTCTGTCCTCCCACCAGGTCCCACAGCAATTTAGCCCCAAAGAAATCACACAGAGGTCCATATTAATGGTAAACTGATTGGCTCATTAGCTCAGGCTTCTTATTAACTCATAACTTATATTAACCCATTATTCTTCTCTATGTTAGACACATGGCTTGGTACCTTTTTCAGCAGGGCAATCACATCTTCCTTCTTCTGTGGTTGGGACAGGACTGGGGAGGAATGGGCTTCCTCCTTCCCAGAATTCTCCTGTTCTCATCGACCCACCTCCACTTCCTGTCTGGTTGTCCCATCTATACTTCCTGCCTGGATACTGGCCAATCAGCATTTATTTAAAACATAATTGACAGAATATAGACAATTGTCCCGCATCATCTCCCAAAAACTCTGACTAAATCCTCTTGTCTACATCTGCTGGGAAGAGCAAGCACTCGCTAGCAGAAACTTATGTCAGTACAACTTTGGGAAGTGGGTGGTGCTCTAAGGGAATCATATAGGATGACGTAATGTCCACAGTCATTCCACTTTCATGAAGGCACAAACTAAAACCTGGGCATCGGGGAGGGAACTACATTCTTCTAGGTCCAGGTCTCACCCACATCTCCTTCTCCCATCTCCTGATTGGCTTTAACCAGTGAGTGACAGCAGATGCTCAGTGTCATGCACATGTCTCTCTCTAGGTTTCACTGGGAGTGTGAGCATCACTACTCCAGAGCAGACAGTTCAGGCAGTCCAAGGGGAAACTGCGCACTTGCCCTGCATGTTCACCCTTAGCCCCGAGGACCAAGGACCACTGGACGTTGACTGGATGCTGCTCACTGGACCTGAAAATGAGGTGGTGAATCATTTGGTAAGTGTGCCCTGTCCCTGCTCACTCTCATTAGGCAGGTGTGGTATCATGGCCAGAATCCCCACTTCCCAGGCTTGTGAACATGGATAGCATGACTGGAGATTTCAGAAGAGGAGGGGCCATCAGATTCCTTGAACACATCATGGACAAGAAGATGTTGTGGAAGTTCTGAAAATGTGGACTTGAACGTGACAGGAGCATAGAAAAAGAGGGGTGTGCCGAGCGGGCTGGGCAGCAAGGGTGTGTGTGTGTGCTGAGTGTGTGTGACAGAGTCACTAGGCTCTGTCTCATGTCAGAGTCGATGTCCGCTATGTTTGTCATCCTCAAGCTTTGGCGTCCTGAGTTACTGGAGCTACAGGTATGGCCCATCCTGCCTGGTGTCTAAATCGCAATAAGACGAAAAGCAATTTGTCCTTTTTAGTTACATTTCATAGGCAAATTACAATGGCTTTCTTGGGTGGGGGGACAAAGGTTGGCCTGTTCTTGATTTTTCTTGATTTTCTTTACTACACCCTCAGAGGCAGCTGAAAAATGAGCGCACACCAGAATGAGCAAGTGTGTGGTCCTGTTCAGTGTTACCAAACCCTCCTCCAGAACTGGGCTGTGCTATTTAATTATGATGAATATTATTTAACCACATTGGACTCAGGGTTTTCCATTTATAATGGGAATAGAGAAGCCAAAGATTTGGCTCAGTACTTAGGAGCACTGGCTACTCTTCTAGAGGATCTTCTGGAGGACCTGGTTTCAGTTCCCAGCATCAACATGGCAGCTCACACCTGTCTGTTACTTCAGTTCCAGGTGACCCAGAACTTTCTTCTGGTCTCTGAGTACTGATGGTATAGAATATTATTTTAGCTGGGCAAAGATGTATTACATTTTTTTATGCTTCAGAATATTAGCTTAGCCATTGCTTTTGTTTATGCTGCATTTGTTTTAATGATATGAAGATGTTGTTTAATCATGTAAAGATATGCTGCATTTGTTTCACTTTGCCTGCCTAAGGCACCTGATTGGTTTAGTAAAGAACTGAAATGCCAATAGCAAGGCAGGAAAAAGGATAGGTGGGGCTGGCAGGCAGAGAGAATAAACAGGAGAAATTTAGGCTTGGAAGGAGAAGGGAAAGAACAAGAGAAGAAGAGAATGAGGAACAAGCCTGGGGCACAAAACCAGTCAGACACAGAGAAGCAGTGAAGGTAGAATATACAGAAGTAAGAAAGGTAATAAGCCCCAAGGCAAAAAGGATACAAAAAAAAAAAAACCCAGGTTAATTTAATTTAAAAGAGGTGGCCAGAAACAAGCCTAAGCTAGGCTGAACATTCAAAACTAAAAATAAGTCTCTGCACCATGATTTGGGAGCTGGTTGGTGGCCCAAAAGAAAAAAGCCCAGTACATGCTGGGATTATAGGTGAGTGCAACCTAAATATAATTTAAAATAATAAAAAAGCTTAAAATCATAATAAAAAATAGGGTTGTGGAGCTACACCCCAGGCCACACTGGCCCATTTCTACTTCCTCATTCTGTTTTTAAGTAGTGTGGGTTTCCTTGTAATGTGTTCCTTTCTCTTCTTCTCCTTCCTTCTTTCCTTTCTTCCTTCCTTTCTCTTCTTTCTGTGTATGTAATGTAGTACATGTGTGTGCAGATGCATGTATAGATGCGTGAGCATGCATGTGGAAGCCAGAGGTGGAGGCCGGGTGTCATCTCCTCTCTCTGTCTGTCACATGTTTGTGCTACGATCTCTCACTGAAACTGGAGCTCACGGACGGCTAGACTGACTAGCCACCAGTGCCTAGGCTTTGCCCCCAGCCTCTAGTGGAAGGATGTGAACTCGTGTCTAGCTCTTACACTGACACTGGAATTCCTAGCTCAGGTTCTTGTGCTTGTTCATCAAACACTTTATTTCCTGAGTCTCCTCTCTGGCTCTCTTTACTTTCTTTCTCTCTTCTTCCCTTTCTCTCTCTTTTGTCTCTCATTTCGATTTCATTTTTAAATTCTGTGATAACATGGTATAGACAGGCTTTAACAAAAGATTTTTTAAGATTCATTTTTCATTTCATGTGAGTCTTTTTGTTTTTATGTTCATCTGTGTACCGTGTGCATGCCTAGTGCCCGTGTAGGCCAGAAGTGGCTGCTTAATCCCAGGGGTCTAAAGTTATAGGCCACTGGGAACTGCCATGTGGGTGCTAGGCCCCAATCCTGGGTCCTCTGGAAGAGAAGTACACGCGTCTAACCCCTGAGCCATTTCCTCAGCCAATGTTTGTTTTTTCTTATGTTTTGGTTTTCTTTTAGCTTATTGTAAGTTTAGCAGACAAAATTTATGATGGCTTCTATCAAGATATGAAAGGACGTGTGAAGTTTACAAGTAATGATATCTGGTCTGGTGATGCCTCTATAAATATAACCAATGTTCAGCTCTCTGATGCTGGCACCTACCAGTGTGAAGTGTTCTATGGTGCCGCTGCTGCTAAGAGGGCCATTCAGCTGACAGTTGTCGGTAAGTTACTGTTGTCGGTAGAAAGATGGCTCACTAACAGGGTGAAAGGTCACGGTACTAAAATCAAGCATTCATGTAAGACAAACTTATATTTTCCAATAATTGTATTTATTCATTTTTGACAGGCTAGGAGTGAAACCTGGGCCTCATGCTTCCTATGAAAAAGCTCTATGACTGTACCACACCCCTGTCCCTAGAATTGTAAGTAAACTTTTGAAGTATTTCTAATGTCCTCACATATCTTAAAACATAAAGCCACCACATTTTTAGATAAGAAAAATAAGAATCAATTAACTCCTTTGCAAAATTCTTTACTGTTAGGAATATTTCCTAACGTGAGCTCTCTGCCGACACCAAAAATCCCAACCAAGTCAAATCATAACAAGCTGAATTAAAGGATATCCAGGTTTAACGGGATTTCTGCATTCTTAGGTGTTCCCCCCAAGGGAACCGGGAAGCCACCAATATGACCACGGGTGGGGGGTGAGACAGCACGGACATGGGACCACAAAGGGACTCTCTGGGGAGCAGTTTAAATAGACTAAGGGAGGGGCCAAGGCTTGGCAGGCTGCCTCGACAGACACTTCTCTGGGGAGGGGTCAAGGTTTGGTGGGCACAGGGGCGGGGCCTCCAAAGATGGAGATCAGAGACAGGGACTTACATCTATGATTTCCAAAACTGTTGTTTGAGAAAGAACCCTGAGCCTGGACTCAGGAAAGCTGCATTGTTGTCTGTTGTTGGTTGTTTTTTTACTCTTTAGGAGCTTTACTCTCTGGAGGTCCACAACCCAGCTCCTAGATAAATCACACACGGAGGCTTATTCTTACTTATGAATCCCTGGCCTTAGCTTGACTTATATCTGGACAATTTTTCTTAAATTATCCCATCTACCTTTTGCCTCTGGACTTTTTTCCTTTTCTTGCTTCTGTATGTCTTATGTTCACTCTTACTCATGACTGGCCCCTAGTGTCCTCTTCTTGTTCTCTTGTGCCCTGATCTCTCATCCCAGATTTCCCCTCAGATTCTCTGCCTGCCAGGCCTGCCTATCCTTTCTCCTGCCTTGCTATTGTCCCTTTAGCTCTTTATTAAACCAGTCCGGTATTTTAGGCAGGCAAAGTAACACAGTTCAGAGAGTTAAACAAATGCAACATAAAAGAATGCAAGACATCTGTACATCATTAAACAGATGTTCCACAGCATCAACGAATGTAACACTTCTTAAATTAATATTCCGCCACAGATGTCATGGTGACTGTTGTTTTGGATCTAGTTCCTCTAGGTTTTCTCTGAGAATTAAATACATTTCTACATTTCCTTGGACCTCATTCGATACACTATGGGGTACTGGAACATAGTGCTGACCATAAAAATCTTTAATCGTCACTGTAGGGGTGTCAGAGCCACCCCTTCAGGGCGGCACGGGAGCGCTCTGAGCTCTTGCTTTCATTGTATAAAGACAGATGAGGTGTCTATGGTGCAGAGCTGGGTGTTTAGATGCTGGGGACGAAACAGAGGAGAAAGCTGATGGAGAAGCCAGTCCACATCAGGCAGTGATGTCACATTTTCATCGCTGTTTTCATTCCTTAAAGTGGGAGACGAGACAGGCTGGGAGGTGGTGAAGTTCTCTCGCTGATGGTCAAGAGGACAAAGGGGAACTCCTATGATTGTTGGGCTGCGAAGTTTCTTTTCTTTCTGTGGATCGTGGGGTAATGTGCCCAATATCAATCCCCTCATGTTCAGAAATCAGAAAGGTGATAGTTCGCATTACGCTTGAGCGCCTTACTGTATAGGCTTCATACAGGTGGGTGGTGGCTAGTCCTCTGTTAGGGCAGCAAGCTCTTGTTCTGCGACCTAAGATCTCGTTTTAGAAGATGCTTGGACACACGTTTTGTAGGTATTTCTGATTGTCTGGCACAACCCTAGAAGTAAACAGTCAGTGCCCCTCCCCGCATACACACATGCCAACTATGCCTTGTTCCTTCTATCTGATGGACTCATCAAAGGGACAGGTGAAGAAGGGTTGCATGTGGGAATTGGAGTCGTCTGAACACTGCTGTCCTCTAGAGCAGGAATATCCGTACGGAGACCAGGAAAGAGAAGGCACACTGAACACATCCCCAGGCAGCATTAAGGGCTGTTGCCTGCTGGCAGCAGCACTGAGTGCAGACGCTGATCCAAGGCACTCTGGTCTGAGCGCCGTCAGTCAAAAATGCTTTCTACAGTGTGAAAAGTGACCCAGCCTGAGTGATTGTAGTTCTCAGTCATGATCTCACTGTTCCAGACACTTGGCATTCCTCAGTGCACTTAGCTGCATTTCTCTCTTTATCAGTTACTACTTCAGCTATTATTTTATCACATTCATTGACATGTGTGTATATGCTCATGTACCATGCATGACACATGATGGAGGTCATAAGACAGCTTACAGGAGCTGGTGTCTCTTTCCATCATGTGTGTCCCGAGGGTCAAATTCAGGGTACGCCACTTATCAACAAGTGCTTTTCCACTGAGCCAGCCCTGTTTGTGCTTTCTAACAAGGACAGCAGATTCTTTTAAAAATACTTCAGTTTCTTTGCTTTATGTGTTTTCCCTGCATGTAGGTATGTCTGCAGCACAGGCATGCCTCGTTCCCTCAGAGGTCAGAAGAGGGTGTCGGATCCCTTGCATCTAGAGTTATGGTTATGAGTCACTATATGGGTCCTGGGACTCAAACTGGGTCCTTTCTGGAGCAACAAATGCTCTTAACCACTGAACCATTTCTTAAGCTTCAAGGATAGCATGCACTCTTAACTGTACTATTGGTTTCTTTTTTAAGGGTCCCCTGGCTGACCTTGAAGTTGGGCTCCTTCTGCCTCACCTCCCAAGTCTTGGAATTGCATATTTGTATCTGTAAATGGTTTGCATTGTTGAGGTTTTTAAAAGATTTCTAATTTTTAAAATTTATTTATTTATTAAAAATTTCCACCTCCTCCCCGCCTCCCTTTTCCCCTCCCCCTCCCCACCTTCCCTTCCCTCTCTAGTCCTAAGAGCAGTCAGGTTTCTATGCCCCATGGGAAGTTCAAGGTCTTCCCCCCTCCATCCAGGTCTATAAAGGTAAGCATCTAAACAAACCAGGCTCCCACAAAGTCAGTCCATGCAGTAGAATCGAAACCCAGTGCCATTGTCCTTGGCTTCTCAGTCAGCCTTCATTGCCAGCCACATTCAGAGTGTCCAGTTTGATCACATGCTCCATTACTCCCAGTCCAGCTGGCCTAGGTGAGCTCCCATTAGATCTGTCCCAGTGTCTCAGTGGGTAAACGCACCCCTCATGGTCCTGACTTCCTTGCTCATGTTTTCCCTCCTTCTGCTCCTCATTTGAACCTTGGGAGCTAAGTCCAGTGCTCTAATGTGAGTCTCTGTCTCTATCTCCATCCATTGCCAGATGAAGGTTCTATGGTGATATGCAAGATATTCATCAGTGTGGCTATGGGACAAGGTATATGTAAATCATACCTATTATGCAAGTTGCTTTTCCCTAAGCAAATACCTTTCTTTTCAGGCTAATCAGTTTCCCCAGAGATCACATCAATTGAACTTCTAATTAAGTTTTGCCAAGTATTTGATCCTGTGAATCTCATGAAATGTGCCTTGTGCTCCTGCGTTCCTTCAACCTCGAAAGAACCCTTTGTGACAATAAACCAGTGTCTCGGCATTCTCTTTGATTTTTCTGCCATCAGTTCGCCCCTGTATTCTAATGTTAGAGAACCCAGCAGCAATATCTTGGAGATAAGAGATGTAATTTTTCTGGATATCAGTTGATGAAAATAAACATGATTTGAATTTTGAGCTTTGGAAAAAGAATCTAAGTCCTTCAAACAAATAGTACTGCTGTAGCTCCATTCCATGCTCTCTGGAGGGCAGGTGTAAACACCAACAGTGTGCTTACTGTCCTGCTCTGTCCTTTCTTACAGCCGTGGCTCTCCAGGGCAGGGCTCCTGTAATTCAGCTCTGGAAGCACCTCCCCCAGGGGACTGAAGGTGTCACACTAATGTGTAAATTTTGCTTTATTGGTGTGAGTATGCATGGGTGTCGCATGTGGTGCACGTGCATGCATGTTCTTCAGTCAGGCTCCACTCCATTTTGTTGAGTTGGGGTCTGTGACCTGAACCCGGAGATCACAGATTTGCTGGTCTTTCCCAGGCTGGGGTTCAGCGCATAGCCCCCACTTTGGCTAGCTCACAACTGCCTGTAGTGCTGGCTCTGGGGCATCCAGTGCCCTTTTCTGGCTTCTGAGGGGGCCTATACAGATGCACACATGCACATACACCACACACACACAAACACATACATTTCTTGGAGACAGCAAAAAAAAAAAAAAATGAATCTTGCTTTCTAATCCAGTCTGCTAGTCTGTGTCTCATTACTGGGTAATTGAGATGGTAAATTATTGTTCAAAGACATGTATTATCACTCTGATACATTTTCTTAAATCTTTTGATTGATTGTTCTTAAACTGTTTATATTCTTGTGTTCTCTTGCTTGTTTTCATCCTTTTCTTTGATCAAAATGTTTGTCCCAGTGTCCTCTTCAGAGGTGGCTTAGTGCTCACAGACTCCTTTAATCGGCTGTCCTGGCGATTGTTCTCTCCTTATATTACAGCTGATAGTGTTGCTGGGTCCAGTGGTCTGGGTTGGCACATATGGTCATTCAGCAACCGCAGGTAATTAGTCCCAGCCCTTCTGGCTTTTAAAGTCTTCACTGAGAAGTCAGTTGTTCTCACAGGCTTGATTTTATAGGTGACTTGTTTCTCTCTTGAAGCTTTCAGTATCCTGTCTTATTTGTTCTGTACATCAGTGTTTTACTATATGCTGTGGGAATTTCTTTTCTGGCCCTGTCTAACTGGTGTTATGCACATGCACTCTGATAGTCATTTCTCCTTCCTTCCTTCCGTCCTTCCTTCCTTCCTTCCTTCCTTCCTTCCTTCCTTCCCTCCCTCCCTCCCTCCCTCCCTCCCTCCCTCCCTCCCTCCCTCCTTCCTTCCTTCCTTCCTTCCTTCCTTTTTTTCGAGGCAGGGTTTCTCTATAGCTTTGGTGTCTGTCCCAGAACTAGCTTTTGTAGACCAGGCTGGCCTCCAACTCAGAGACCCACCTGCCTCTGCCTCCCAAGTACTGGGATTAAAGGCGTGCACCACCACCGCCTGGCCATTTCTATTTTCTTATATTTTGGGGGCTTTCTTCTATGATTTCGTTGAAAATACTTTTGTGCCTTTGACTTGGGGTTCTTCTTCTCTGTGGCTCAGTTTTTGCCATCTTACACTGTCTCGGAGTTTCTGCATGTTCTGTTCATGGGTTTGGTTTGATTTATTTATTTTTTTAGATTTAACATTTTCTTTGACTTAGTTATCCAGAAATACCTCTACCTTGTCTTTAAGCCTTGATATTCTCTTTTCCACATCATCCATTTGATTTACTGAATTTTTAATTTTGAGTTTATTTCATTTTGGCTTTTCTTCAGAAATTCTCTTCATTCAATTCAATTTTCTTATGTTGAATTGCTTCCTTTATTTCATTCAACTATTTTCAGTTTTCATTCTGGCATTCATCCTTTCTGAGTTCCTTCAACATATTTATATAGCTATTTTGAAATTGTTTTTTTAAAGCTGCTTTTTCTCAGGGAGTATGAGAATACACCCTTTTGGAGATGTTTTATCTTGGTCATTCATGTTGTGCTTTTGTGGTAGTACCTTTATCTGGAGGTTTGGTTTTTGGTTGTGTTTGATATGTTATCTGTTCCGCCTTTGTTGAGCGGACACTTATATGGGTTTACTCTCACCTAGTCAGGTTGTTATGGGCCAGCTGAATGGTGGTTGGGGTTCCGACTTGGGGCCGCTCAGTGTTTATGTCTAAATGGAGTGCAAGTGTGGGGTCCATCCTCTCCTGCACCTAGGCCTAGGTCTCCAAGTGCCTGGCCAATATCAAACAAGAGGCCTCGTCCAAACCAAGTGGAAGGTGAGTGAGAGGCCCAGGTCCCCACATTCAGTGAGTCCATAGCCCTAGCACAACCCCCAAACAGCCTGGCTCCAGAGGCAGGGAAAGAAACACACCCTGAAAACGGAACCAGAGGTAGGGGAAGACACTCTGTCCCCAAACCTAGAGCCAGAGACGAGTTCCCGGACCCTGAAACTAGGACCAAAAGAACGCACTAAGTCCCTAGATTCAGGACATACCAAAGAAAGTTGTCTTGGCCCCAAAATTAGGGCTACAAAGGTAGAAAGAACCAAAGAAAGAAACACAGTTTGGCCCCAGAAATAGAGCCATCTCTGCCCCTGACTTGAAACCAGCCAATCCCCGAACAGGAAAAACAGACCAATCAGAGCCTCAGGCAGTTACCCTTAAGTCTGGAAAGTCCCCTTACATCATTGGATGGCAGTCAATCAGAAGCTTGGAAGTCTGGAATTCCCCCTCACCACTAGGGGGCAACCAATCACAAGTCCTGGGGCTTGGAATTCCCATCAACCTCTGTTTTCTGCTGTGGGTCTCTTCTGCGCTGTACCTGTTGCTGCTTCAGATGGGCAGAGGGAACCGAGTTAACTAGTGAATAAAGACTCTATTTCTACATCGGAGTGGGTCTTGAGGTGGTGATTCGGGTTCTTCCCTGTAACAGTGAGGACCACACCAGAGATTGTCTTCTGACCTTCAGATGTGGGCACTGGGTGCCAGCCATGAAAGACTTTCAGAGAAGAGCAGGGAGGCAAACCACGGGAAAGTAGTACTCTGCGAGTCTATCCAGAGAGGGGCCTGTGTGGTGCCGTGGGCAGCAGCGGTGCCCTCCTCTGCCGCAGAGGCGCCTGCGCAGTGCTGTGGACAGCGGAGGTACTCTCTTCTGATTGATGCAGTCCATGTAACTGAGATCATTTATTTTCCTCTTTATTTCTTCCCACATACGAATGAAAATAAAGCAACCTCTTCATAAACCCACATTCTAAATTCAGTTTTTAAAAAATTAATTTTGTGTGTATGGATTTGGACTCATGTGCCACAGAGCACACATCCAAGCACAACTTTGAGGAATCAGTTCTCCCTTCTGACATGTGGTCCTGGGGACTGGACACAGGTCACTGGGCTGGTGGCAGGCACCTTCCTATTTAACCATCTTTTTTCTTCCTTCTTTTTTTGAGATAAGGGTTTCACAATGCATCCCTGGCTGGCCTGGAATTTGCTATCTCACAAGCTGGCCTTCAAAATACAGAAACCAGCCTGTCTCTGCCTCCCAAGTACTGGAATTAAAAACATATACCACCACACCCAGATAAATGAAAATCTTTTCATTTTTGAATGATTTATTTTTATTTTATGTATATAAATGTTTTGTCTGAATGTATGTATATGCACCAGATGCATATCTGATAATCGTTGGAGGCCAAAATAGGGTGCTAGATCACCAAGGACTGGAATTACAGATGGTTATGAGCTACCGTGTGGATACTGGGAATGGAACCCAGGTCCTCCTCAAGAGGGCACCATGAACTCCTAACTGCTAAACCATCTTTCTAGCACCTATATTAAATTCTTATATGACATTATTGGATTTTTTTCATGTTTTCAGACAGAAAATGCTTCTTGTCTTCTCTGGTTACACAAATTGTATGATTATGAACCAGCTGCTTCAAATACAGGCCAACCTATCTGCGCATGTGAGACATGAAAACACACCCACTGTCGGACACAGCCAGCAGCACCATTTTTATTTTACAGTGTTTACTGTAGTCAAGGTTACTGTGGTGAGATGTTAGTGGTTTTGGTCCATATTTTATTTTCCATTTGAATTAGAAACACAGTAGTTAAAAAATAAATTTTTATGATTCCATTTTTCTTGACCATTGGAATATTACAGTTTCAAGTAACAAAAGATAAAAATAAAAACATTGCAGATTAAATCTACCAATATGTACAGCGTGAACACACTTAATTACCACAGTCATTAGCAAGACCTGATGTCACCTCTTCAGCCCAGAACTCATTAGGAAGCAGTCACTGAGAGACCTCTGGGATCTCCCTGTTGTCCACAATGAGTGTATGGATAATCCCTTCTCTTCTCTTCCCGCTGCTGACGGCTTTTATGTAACAGTCGTGGTTCCCAACACTGAAGTGTGTTTCAGTCCCATCGTCTACAAACTCGCCCTAGGACAGCAAGGGAGGAAGCATCAGTGTCCAGAAATACTTGTCAGAGCACTGGCATCATCTAAAAAGTACCAGTCGTAACATCAAACTTCAAAATCAGAGCCCAAAGGTTATGTTTAGAGCCCTGTGGTTTGCTCTAATTTTTGAAATCTTGAGGGATTTTAAGTTTCAGGAGAAGAAAGCTCTGTGTCCGCAGTGTGGACAATGTTTACAAAACTAAAAACAGTGGGCGTGTCAAAAAACATTCTCAGTTACGTACACTACCCTAGCATGGGGCACCGTGTCACTGTGGTCACAAGAGCTGCCATAAGTGACACTATTGTCCTCATTTTATAGACACAGAAATGAAGAGCGGCAAATTTAATGACTTGCTGAAAGCCTGTCCAGTAAGACAGAAGGGTTCCCACAGGGCTCAGGAGACAGGCAGAGACAGGCGGCTTCTCCAGACGTAAGGTTAGCACACACCCAGTGTAACCAACAGCCCTGAGCACGGAGCACCACAGCCTGGACTAGTCTGAATAAGACACACGGTTTCAGTGTGAAATATAAGAAGACTTAGCATGAAACAATGCGAAGAACTAGTGACTATTTTTTTTTTTTTTTGAGACAGGGTCTCTCTACATAGCCCTGGCTCCCCAAAACTCACTATGTGTATCAGGCTGTCCCAGAACTCACAGCGAGCCACCTGTCTCTGTCTGCCTCCTGAGTTCTGGGATTAAAGGCATGTGCCACCATACATGTCTTTATGACATTTTTGATACACTGATTTAAATTAAACATTAAAATTAATCCACCTTAAATTTCCTTAGTGTTGCTACTAGAAGGGTGATGCTCTAGAATGAAAAATCAGGAGCTGGGGGACAGGAAAGAACTGTGCCAGAAATCTTTCACAGTTAGACTTAAAACCTGCCTGCATGGTCTGGGACTGTAACCTGGGCTAGAGGCTCTGCTTAGAACGTTAAGTCCCAGCTCCTTACAACACAGCACACCTGAGCATCACAGAGGACAGAGCGAGCAAGCCTGGAGTCCACACTCTAAGCAGCAGCAAGTACAGGGACATCAGAGAAAGCTCTTTGGAGGTCTGGGCAACCCCAGCAGGTGGTCTTTGGAGGGTGTGTACTATAAGCCCACCCAGGCATGCCCTGGGGCACTTTATCCTGAGCCCTTGGAAGGAGCCTGTGGAAGGCCACACACAGTCTCTCCAAGTTGCTTCTTGGCAATTTCACCCGTTAGTGACGATACTGGGGTGAAAACAGCGCATGCTGTATAGGAGCAGTCTGGGCATGCACACAGATCAGGGCAGGCTGAGATAGGGAAGCTGCCCGGACGCTTCTGCCACTGTAGCTACAAGCAGGCAGTGGGGTTATAGAGGGCTGTCTTTGCACTGGTTTCCTGCCAGTTACTAGGAACAAGCACATCATAGATTTTATCCTATTTAAAGTCACATGTACTTATACTGAAAACCATTATTCTGTACAAATGACATACATTAATAATTTCTAGAAACCCGCCTTATTGTCAGTTTTTCAGAGGTGAGGACAGCACTGAGGGCCTCGCACATGTTAGCTAGGTGAGTGCCCTACTACTGAGCTACAACCCTAGCCTTGATTTATTGTGTTAAGATTTATTTTAACAAAAAAAAAAAAAAAAAAAAAAACACTTTGAGAAGCAGGTGTTGGTGGTGCACACCTTTGATACCAGAGGCAGGTGGATCTCTGTGTCCAAGGCCAGCCTGGTCCATAGAGTGAGTTCCAGGACAGCAGACCAGCCAGGGCTACACAGAGAAGTCTTGTCTCAAAAGAAAAAAAGTTTTATTTTTATAGATTTTTAAATTTTATGTGTCTGAATGCTTTGTCTGTGCACCACATGTGTGCTTGGTGCCAGCAGAGGTCAGAAGAGGGCACTGGACCCCCTGGGACTGGAGTTACAGATGTTCTGTGTGTGTATGAACATGCCTTTTACATGGCACTGGGAATCCTAACTCAGGCCCTTGTGCATGCCTGGCAGTTTAACTGACCCCAGCCATCTCCACAGCTCTCATCCTCCTCACACCCCTTGTCTAGAATGAGGACCTGTTAGTCACACTCACTAGGAATAGGTAAATGGTAACTTACTGCTGTCTCCATTTTTTGGCCATTGCACCATACATCCATAGTATCTTTCTCTGTAAAAGCAACATAAATTCCAAAAGTTATAGTTCTATATCTAAGGTTAACCACTTTTTTAAAAGCCAAATTCAGTATATTTCTAAACTGCAATATACTTTTGCAATATAGTTTTGCTGTTCTAAAACTCAATACTTTGAAGATCTTTGAAACTCAAAATTTGAAGAAACTTTGTTCATAGATGAAACCAGGTTTTTAAAAATCTTTTGTTTTGTTGAGATTTTTGAGAAAGGATTTCTTTGTGTAGCTCTGGCTGTCCTGAAACTCACTCGGAAGACCAGGCTGGCCTCAAACTCACAGAGTGCTGGGATTAAAGGTGTGTACCACCATGCCTGACTTTGAAATTTTTAAAGAGAAAGTCACAGTCTCATCACAATGTGATAAAAATCTTGTTAAAATAGATTCTAAAGGACAATCTTTTTAAAGGGGCTACAGACAGATGAATGAAGGCACGAGGAGGACCTGGTTCCTAGGAAACTGGTTAACAAATAAAACCAACATCGGAAATGTGATTTAGCATCACTGACGAGATGACTTCCGCCTCCCGCACTGACAGAGCTAACTGGATGATGTTGTAAAGACCATAGGCCTTGGGGTTTGCAGAAGGCACATAGTAGGAACTCAGCTTTTAGTTTCGTGCTGGACAGGACAATAATCATATTTTATAGTGGTTTTACTCTGGAAAAAACTACTAGATTATAAGAAAAAATATATTAAGCATGTGCACTCTACAGTGTGGGGCGGCAGGGAACACAGTGCTGCTGTGGCAACCTCATGCAGCAGTCTGCTACCGTAGCTGACTGCCAGGTGGGAGTCCCCAACACTGCCTGTCAACATTAGTGTCCCAAGAGTTTGGCTGGAAGAAGACTGTGATCTCCAAGGAGCCAGATGAGGAAGCAGAGTGAGAGCCTGTGTTTGTGACCTGCAGGGGCACCAGGCTCCAAGGACAAAGCAAGGACAAGGCTGCACCACAGCCTTTGTCTCCAAGGACAAAGCAAAACACCACACATATAAAGGAAGAAAATCACAATTTTTGTTTTTGTTTTTCAAACAGGGCTTTTCTGTGTAGCTCTGGCTGCCCTGGAACTCATGCTGTAGGCCAGGCTGGCCTTGAACTCACAGATTCGCCTGCCTCTGTGCCATAACCACCCAGCTCAAATTTTTTTTTAAAAGAAAGGAACTCAAGCAATAAAGATGTGAGAAAAAATGCTGACATAAAAAAAATGGAAGGATATATAAATAATACATACACTTTCTCTCTTCCCACAAGAAGAGCGAATGCTAGACCAGGTGGTGGTGGAGCACGCCTTTAATCTTAGGCAGAGGCAGATCTCTGGTCTACAGAGTGAGTTTCAAGACAACCTGTCTCAAAATAACAAAATAAATAAATAAATAGAAATAAAAAGAGAAAATCAATATGAAAGCCCAGAAAATAAGAACTATACATTAAAATATCATTCAAATCTGAAGAGATGAAAATGGAGTAATTTTGAATAATGGACACAGATTTTATACATATATATGTATATATATATGTATATATATATAACTTCTTCCAAGTTTTTGATTATATAGTGAAAAGACTCACCGCATTCATACAATTGATCATCACAGAACACAGGGCTTTTAAAGAAAGGGATAAAATTTATTTGGGTACCCAGGTAAGAATAACCAGAGTGGTTAAAGGTTCAGCGTTCTCACTGACACTTCCGGCAAGGAAGCCATGTGTGTGCCCGTCCCTTTTCTCTCGCTCTGGCAGAAACAACTTACGAGAATAGAGGGTTATTCCGGGCGTGGCTTGAGGAGATATAGCCCATAATGGCAAAGAAAGCATGGCTGTGCAGCGATGTAGCCGGAGTGGGAACTACAATGTTATACCTTGGTGGGCCAGGAAGTAGAGTTCAGCAGACAGCAGGATGGTCTAGCATCCTCAAGTCCCGCCCCTGTAGACATGTGTCTGCCAGTCAGACCCTTGGTTCAATAGGTTTCATGGTCTCCCAAAACAGGGCCACCAACTGGGGACCAAGCATTCAAACACATGAGCTGTCTGGGACTTTCAAAGTCAAATCATAATACTTAAGATTCTTTTTATTTTTTAACTTTTTAAATAAGATTTTTATTATTGTTTTTATTGAGTTATATATTTTTCTGTGCTCTCCTCCCTTTCCTCTCTGCTCCCCTTCTACCCTCTAATACCTAAGATTCTTGAAAGAAAATGTAAACTGAGACTATTACATAGAGTGAAACTGACTTCCAAGTGTGCATGCGTGCACACACACACACACACACACACACACACACATACACACAACACCCCCCCCCAAAATATCCCAAAGCTATCAGTATATAAGAACTCAAAATACTGTTCCCATGAATCCTTCAAAAGGGGAGTTAACAGGAAAGATTCAGGAACCACAGTGGCCAGACAAGCTGCAGCCAGACAAGCTGCAGCCAGACAAGCTGCAGCCAGACAAGCTGCAGCCAGACAAGCTGCAGCCAGACAAGCTGCAGCACAATGGCTTCATTTATGCGTTAAGTGTGGGCTGACAAGAGGAAGGCAGGGCACGGAACAGTTATCCATCCTGACAAGGTGCACAGGGCAAACTGGAGGACAATGCAGAAACTGTAGAAGGATTTTTGGTAATTATATTTATGGCAGTAGTACTGCTAGTATTATTAAATTATTATAAGTGTCTGCAATAGCAAATTAAGTAGTGATATTGTAATTCTATCATCCTGTGTGTCCTTGAGAAGGAAGATTCTAAGTGTCAGGAAAAAAAGAAGATACAGATGTTAGATAAGATTAAGTAAAACCTATACTCCTCAACTTGATCTGCAAGTTATGAACTCAGAAGACACCTTAAAAATCTCTTAGAGGCAGGTGGATATGTGAGTTCAAGTCCAGCCTGATCTGCATATTATTTCCAGACTAGCCAGGGAAACACAGAGACCCTGTCTCAAAAAAACCCCTCAAAACAGAAAAGATCTGTCCCTATCCCTTCTGCTTTCCTTCTTCCCTTTCTCCTATTACCCATCCCCTTGTTCTGTTTTTTATATCTATCTACCTAACTGTCTATCTATCATCTATCATCCATCCACCCACCCACCCATCCATCCATCCATCCATCCATCCATCCCCCTACCTACCCACCCACCAATCTAACTTCCTCGCTCTGCTCACTGAGGATTGTGGAATGATGAAATAACACTCAGTACTTGGTCAGATTATCCTCTTGAAATACATTTTTATCTAATATTCATGTCTAGGCCAAAATATTCAAAACAGTTCAAATCATCCTGTTATGCAAAATCTGAGATAAGCTGCCAAAGCCCACTAGAAATATGCTGCAAGGACTCAGGGACCACTCTAACGAGAAGTCCCTCAGTGGTTCAAAACAGCACATTTTTATGGCTCACACCTGTTATCTAAGCACTTGGGAGGCAGAGGCAGGAGTATTAACAAAAGTTTCAAATCAGCCTGGGTGACAGTGAGCACCAGGCCGGGAGAGACAGAGCAAAACCCAGTCTCAGAATAAACACACACATACACGAATTCCCCTCTCCCAAAAAGGGACATTTTAAGCATTAATGAACATGGTAACTGCAATGTACTAAAGCGAAGTAAATTGTTTTTTCTCTGTGTTAACAATGATTTAAAACTGGAAACAATTCAATAGTTTGAAGGCTGGTGACTACAGGGAATGGCAAAGCTACCCTGCACTTCTACAAGAAATGTAGGGTATGTGACTGGAAGTTTCTAGTTAGATAAACACCTAGATAGGAAGCAAAGAATGAAAGAATCCAAGAATGACATCTGGCAACAACTGATGGATGAATGGTCTAGCCATTAAGCATTACGTTTAATCCTGGTGTCAACTTATCTGGATCTGGAACCAACCAGAAGGTAAGCCACTGGGCATGTCATAATGTTCCTGATCAGGTAATTGGGAAGATCCAAGCTGAATGTGGGCGGCACCTCCCAGTGGCAACCCCTAATGAAAAGGGTTAAAGGAAGCTCTGCCTTTCTGTCTGCCTGCCTTCGCTCTACATAGTGCATTCACCCTGATGCTTCTGGATCATCCTTCACTGATATCAGGACCCAGCTTCAGCAGGCTTCCACTGTGGACTGAGACCAGTGGGGTCTCCAAGAGTTCTCCAGGCAGTCAGCGGCAGGTACTGCTAGGGCATCAGATTCACCGAAGGAACCAGGACTTCAGCCTCACCAGTGTGGGACCAACATTAGTGGAATACCCAGACCATAGCAGATAAGCCAATCTGATAAATCTCTCTCATACACACACACACACACACACACACACACACACACACACACACACACA